AATTTTTTTTGATTACCAAAATAATGTATATTTTATTTCTTTAAAATTAAATACATGATTTTGAAAGTGGAAGCCATTTTCCCACCATATCCTAAAGATGATTGCTAGGTAATTATACTTCTATAACTTTCACACCTATATTAAAATAGATAATTTTGTACATGAATACATTAAGTTCTGTGATTTGCTTTTTTATTTAGTATATTTCCATCTTTTCATGTCACTGTATAGATATTCTGTTAGGTTGTCAGATAAGTCATGATGTACTTTTCTGTGTTTTTCTGGACTTGAACCATACAGTTAGCCTTGTGGGATTCAGCTGGCTGAATGGTGGTGTCAAAACTAACCTCTACACCCCTTATTGGCCCTTAGATCAGTTTTTAAGTGAAAACCTGAGCTTTAATATATTGCTTAAACTGTTTCCTTTAAGGCTCTGTTTCTTCTATATTATTTAATGAAATTTTATTTTTAAATTTTGAATAGGCAGGGACCAGCAGATGGTGTGGTTAAAGGCACTGGACATTCCCACATGGCCGACCAGGATTCGAGTCCTGAATCTGGTGGCTTGCTTTCTCACTTCCTCTTTCTCTCTCTCTCATTCTCACCCTGTCTCTCTCTGGTCAAATTAAAAGAATGAATAAATAAATAATTATTAAAAATTTTTTTTCGAATAGGCAATATATTGTGTTGCTGGGAAAGTCATGACACGTTTTTGCATAGAAAAGTGTAGGAAAATATGTCCTGACTTTCCCAACAGCCTAATGTATTCCCATAGTTTAAAAATCAAAGTGGTAGGGGCAAGATAGTTGTGCAGTAGCAAAATACAAAGCTCTTTGAGGTAATCTCATATGGAAAGGTCTCCAGTACAAGACTGGAGACCTCCCTGAGTACATGCTCATGATCTGGGGCTGAAGGCTGGGGGTGGATTGTGGTGTCAAGATCGTATTGAAGTTTTTTTTTTTCCCCTCTCTCTCTAGCTCATAGAGGAAGTAAATAAACTGAAGATAAAAATCAAAGCAATATAAATTATATTGAGAAGTTTCACTCTTAAATTTGACTACTCTTACTTCCCATTTTACCCACATACCCTATAGGTAACTGTATTTTAGTACTTTGTGTATCTTTCTCAAATTTAGATAGCTAGAAGCTAATGTGAATATGCTGTATATTCTTATTTTCCCCCCCAAAAAATAGCATGTTATGTACTCTGTTCTATATCTGTATTCTCTTCCACTAGATAATATACCCTAGAGATCTTTCCTCATCAGTGTGTGGTTTCTTTATTATTACTTTTTATAAAGCATAATATTCTCATACTCTGGAATTCTTTGAGAGATACTTGGAGGATTTCCAAGTTTTTGCTCTTATGGTGTTGTAAATATTCATGTGCATACGATGACACACATATTCTTAAGTGTATTTGAAGGATAAATTTCTGTAATTGGAATTCCAACTGACACAAAGGGTAAATGCCCATTTCTTTCCATACAGGTTTCTCTCTCTCTCTCTCTCTTTAAAATTTGCTATAGGGCATGAGGACTCACTGGTCAGAGAGAGAGAAGGAAAATGAGAAAGCATCCCCCATGGGGAATGGTCACACCACAATTCCTTCTCTTTTATCTTTTCCTCCTTTGGGGATTTTGGCATATGTGTGCCCAGTGCATTTCTCACTACCAGGTCCGGGACTTGAACCGTGCCTTAGCCATGTGGGATCCTGCTGCCTTAACCCCCGTGCCACGTGATGCACTTTCTATGAATTTTAATAAATGTTTAATGACATGTACCTACAATTGTAGTACCTGCAAAATAGTTTTACTGCCCTAAAAATCCTCCTTGTGGGGCCAGAAGGTGACATCGTGGTTAAGATGCTGGCTTCTCACATGGTAATTGTAATCACAATTCGAGTCTTGGACCTGGTGACTTGAAAATTACACCAGGTGATACAAAGTGTCAAGAGGAGAATGGGGAAAGGGAGAGGAGAGTGGAGAAGGGATTTCTGTGTGGCCATTCCCCGGAAGGTGATTTCTCACTCACTGTCTCTTCCTCTCTGGTGAGCACACTTGCCATAGGAGCAAGAAAAAGAAAGTTCTTTCTCATTCATGCTCTCTTCTTTCTCCTGCCAAATGTGTGTGTGTGTGCGCATATTAATGAAGGTTAATTCATGTAGAAAGATGCAAAAGTGAAAGTATATAGATTAAGGAATTAAAAATTTTTTTTTACTCCTCAATGTAGTTTGAATTTGCATTTCTCTCATCAGTGTCTCTTCATATCATTGTGTTTTTTCTGTTTCTTTAGTGTGAACTGTCATTTCATATCTTTTATCTACTTTTCATGTGAATTACTGATCTTTTCCCTAGGAAGTTTTAAAAATTGGAGAGGTATTTTTTGAAATAAAACATTTTTCCCTTATTTTTTCTCATCAGTCTTAGTGAGAAAGTTGGGCTATAACAAATACTTTGAATTTCCTTAAATGGATACATGGAATCTCTTTCTCCTTCTCCAACTCAGGACTTAACCAAGCTTAAGTGTCCTTGTTTTCCAAAATTCCTCCTAATACTTATGAAGGCTTACAGAAGTATGTCATGTTCATGGTATCTTCTGTATAACTTTATCTTAAAATTCAATCATAATCCTTCTCTCACCTGTTTTTCCATAGACTGCAAATTCTTTAAGGGCCAGAACTTTGTTTATTCACCTTTCTGTCTCTTACTTGGAACATGACTTTTTCATTAATACTAGTATTAGATATAAGTGATTATTTCTTGGCTTTTGTTGCCTTTGGCTTTACAGTCATTACTGTCTTAGGTATGAGGGAGTGTCTTCATAAAATTCATGGAAAATATGTATCATGAAAAAAACACATGGATTTCAAAAATTTTTTACACCAAAATAAACTCATACTTTAACTTTTTTATCTGTGAACTCTTTGAAGTCTCTTCATACTCTTTAATTTTTTATGGTGAACCAACCAATCTTATTCACCCCCTTCTCGTTCTGTCATTTCTTGCTCTTCTATTTCCTCTGAGAATTTTTCTGGAAAGATATTGAGTCTCCATGAGAGATACAGATCTTTCATGTGTTTTACTTCTTCCTTCATAATTAAGGCTTATGAGAATGTTTGATATAAGCAAATAATGCTTTACTTCTAAGTCTTTGATCTTTTGGATGACAGTGTGTTATTTCTTGTTTTCCTTTTTTGTTTCTTTGTATTCTTACAACATAATTTCATAAAAACTTATACAAAATATATACAGAAAGCAAGAGATAAGTGTAATGAACTTCATGTACTGGTAAACAGCTTCAAGAGTTACCATCTCATAGGACTTTAAGGTAAGTATTTAAAATAAAACATCCTTAGTGTTGGGCAGATTCCTTGAGGCTCTAACCTTCCATTTCAAAATGCAGGAGTTACATCAAAATGTAGATACAATGTTGATTTCTCTATATGTATGGATTTCAACCTTCTTGTTGCAGTCTGTTTCATTATTGAACAGCTACATTTGTAAATAGAGCTAAGATGTGCTTCCAGAAATCTTGATTGGTCCAATTTTAATTGCTTGCAACACAAAGCTTTTAGTTTATTGAAAACAATAACATAGTGTTCTCATTGAGCTGAAAAAAAGTTAATTTTAAATGGTACCTGAAAAAAATTTGTAGTAGTTCTGGTAAAAAATGTTGGACATCTTGAGGAGATGAGTCTAGGAAAGCAGTTGCACTTCCTTTACTGATCAGTGGCAGATTATTCATAGTCTTATGAATACCCTTTTTTTAAAAAAAAAAAATTGGGGTTAAGTTTTACATTTAATATTTTTCTTAAGTTTCTTTCTTCCATAGGAGTCGATATTTTAAATTAATTTGTGATTTAAAGTGAAAATACATTTTAATCACATCTGGAATTTTTATGTCTTTTGTTGTTACAATGGCATGCCATAAACTGGAACATACTGGTTATGTTTGTTGACTTTCACTTCTCCACTGAACATATCCAGTAGATGCTTTACTTATGAGCTTCGTAAAGAATTGTTTTCCAGGGACCAGCAGTTAGTGTAATGGCTATGTCGCTGGACTCCCATGTAGTCGACTGTAGTTCAAGTCCCAGGCCTGGAGGCTTAAAATCACACCAGGCACGTGTGCGTGCGTGCCCAAGATCCTGAGAGGAGAATGGAGGAGGAAGGATTGCAGTGTGGCCATTCACTCCTGGGGGATTGATTTTCATGATACATATTTTCCATGAGTTTTCTGAAGACACTCCCTCATACCTAAGACAGTAATGACTGTAAAGCCAAAGGCATCAAAAGCCAAGTGACTTCTCACTTTCTGTCTCTCTGTCTCTCTCTGTCTTTCTGGCGAACGCCCGCACCCTATAGCAAAAACCTCTTGGGGAATAAAAAAATTGTTTTCCATTTAGAAATTGCCATTTCGGATTTTTCATTAATTTCAGAATTATTTCATCATAGTATCTACATAGTAATATATGCCACTTATGGTTTTATTGTTAAACTTAAATAGCCTGGGTTATTTATTACTTTTTAAAGAATTTTATTTGTTTGTTTATTTGAATTTGACTAAAGTGAGAAAGCAAGTCACTAGGACTGTGACTCAAACCACAGTCAGCCACATGGGAGATCAGTGCCCCTAACCACCACACTACCTGCCGTTCCCAAGCCTGGGTTATTTAAATGATTACTTTTTTCATCTGGACTTTCCTTTTATTGGTAATGGTTTTGAATGAATAGTACACTCTGAGCAGTCTTTATGAATTCTTAGAAGCATCCTCATAATGTTAAAGTCACTTAATATTCTGAGTTGATTATGCCATGTAATATATTTGTATTTTACCAGAATTATGTATTTTTACATTTTTCAAAAATAATCTGTTACAATTAGTGTGTTTTTAAGTGTTTCCTAGCTTTTTAAAAATAGAATGAGGATCAAATGTATTTTATTATTTTCAGACTTTCAGAACTAGAACATAATATTGCTCTTCTTGGTTTCTGTAGAGCAGGTTGTTGCCTTGGATGCGCAGAATATTGTAGCCGTTTCATGTGGAGAAGCTCATACATTAGCACTAAATGACAAGGGCCAGGTGTATGCTTGGGGTCTCGATTCTGATGGACAGCTTGGTCTGCTAGGAACTGAGGAATGTATCAGAGTACCCAGGTAAAAGTGACCTCAAAGAGGTCCTTAACAATTGTTTGTAATACATTTGTTAAATCATTCTGTTTACTGTGGAATGTTAAGAATTGACATCTAATTATTTCTCTCCTTCAGTTCTTTAGCAGTTTACTAGATAGATTCTTGCTTTTAATGGGGTTGAGCTATTGATTGGCTTGTGATTTTTATATAGTCTATATTTTTTTGGGGGGGGGGGAGAGGTTTTTTTCGCTATAGGGTGTGTGCGCTCGCCAGACAGACAGAAAGAGACATAGAGACAGAAAGCGAGAAATCACCCCCCAGAGGGGATGGTCATGCCGCAATCCCTTCTCCTCCATTCTCCTCTTGGGATCTTGGACACGCACACACACGCGCCCGGCGTGTGTTTTAACCCACCGGTTCCGGGACTCGAACCGCAGTCAACTACGTGGGAGTCCAGTGACATAGCCATTACGCTAACTGCTGGTTCCCTATATTTTTTTTAATAAAAATAAGATTGGTATTTATGTTTTTTAATAGTATTTTTGTGCTTTTAAGTTTATTTCCTCCATGAGTGACAGAGAGAAAGATAGAGATAACACACCTACAGGGTCTTGATGCCACAATCTATCCCTAGCTTTAGCTATCCCAGGATCATGGGCACATGTGTGCCCAAGCATACTTATGGAGATGTTCAGATGGGAACCTGGAACCTTCTCATGTGGGTTAACTTTGCAGACTGTCCTATTTTATTGTCACACTACTGTATTTATGTTTATAAAGAAAAGGGGTGAAGATTACCTACCTTATTATAAATTTTCTCTTAGTAGATTCCACTAATTTAAATTACTAATTCTGTCTTGAGTATTTCAGCTATTTGTATGCTTTTTTTCTAACTTCTTTTTTAGTCTTTATTGTTTTTATTGACTATGAGAATATAAAAAGTATTCATTCAGGACCAGCAGGTGTCATGATGGTTAAGGCGCCAGACACTCCTGGTGTCATGATGGTTAAGGCGCTGGACACTCCTACGTGACTGACCATGGTTTAAGTCCTGGACCTAGCAGCTTGCTTTCTCACTTTCACTCTTTCTTGCTCTGTGTCTTTCTCTGGTCAAACTAAAAATAAATGAATAAATAAAATAAATAATTCTTTAAAAACCTGAAAGTTCTTTATTAAAAAAAAATTGATTCACTTTCTACTTTTTTACTTAGCAGTGCCCACAATTTATGTTAACCATTAAATTCATCATAGAATTATTTCAGAATTAAAAAATAAACAATGGTTTATCAGTATTGTAGTATTACATGTTTACATAGGCTATAATCCATGGTCTCAACATTAAGAACTGTTAGAGCAAGAACATAAAGAATAATGTTCGATTTCTTTTAGCTAAGTAAGTAATACAACAGTGCTTAGTTTTTTAGATTCTATAAATCTGGCCTCCTTAAATTCCTTTGTTCTTTCTTCCTAGAAATAGGAATAGGGACAAAAGAACTCTCCAGGCAACCAAGGTATTCTTAAACTAATTTTAGATTTATTCGAGGTAGCATTTTTAATATGTATTTGTGTATTTTGATTTTTAATTTGTGTGCTCACAGAGAGAGAGAGAGAGAGAGAGAGAGAGAGAGAAAGCACAACCAAGGGGAATGGTCATGACAAAGTCCTTTCTTCTCCATTTGCCTCTCTCTTTAGGATTTTGGGTATGAATGCTCATGCACCCAGCTGGTTTTTTGTTTGTTTGTTTGTTTGTTTTTTTGAGATGTTTCTGCTGTAGGGTGCAAGTGCTCGCCAGAAAGAGACAGGAAGCGAGAAATCACCCCCCCCCCCAGAGGGGATGGCCACGCCGCAATCCCTTTTCCTTCATTCTCCTCTAGTGGTCTTAGGCATGCACGCTTGCGCATGTGCCTGGTGTTAGCTTAAGCGACCCAGTCCGGGACTTGAGCCATGGTCAACTACATATAAATTATGTATTTGTGGTGTTCCCTTTTTTTGATAGTTTTTTTATTGCAAAAACGAATTTTAATTTTTAATCTTTAGTATGATATAAACATTGCTTTTGGTATGATGCCGACAACGAGCTGTGCAGAAGGGCTCTGGAGAGATGCTCATAGCAGCACACACCTGCAACTCTTCTTGGGTTCTGGAGGCTCCAGGGAAGCCAGTATTGCTTCATCAGATACATTCTTTAGGCCTTTCTGTGTGAGTGCAGAACACTCCAAATACTTGACAGCCTTCAGGTTACAGGCCAGCTTTTCAGCAGTCTCTGGAGTGATAGGCTTCTGTTTGTTCTTGGCAAGTTTCTCAGTAGTAGAGGGGTCATCTCTGAGATCATTATGGGTCCCAACAAGCAAGAAAGGAGTCTTTGGACAGTGATGAGTTATCTCAGGCACCCACTTTACTTTCACATTTTCAAGTGAGGATGGAGAGACCATTGAAAAGCGAACTAGAAGTACATCTGCTTGTGGATAACTCAGCAGTTGTAATCTGTCATAATCTTCTTGCCCAGCAGTATCAAAAAGCCCAAGAGTATATGGCTCTCCACCAATCATTACTGTGACTGCATAGTTGTCATATTCAGCTGGAAATGTGTTTGTTGTGTAGGATATTAGGAGACATGTTTTACCAACAGCACCATCACCCACAGTGACACACTTAATTGTCTGCATTGCTGAAATAGTTGTGTATCCACCTTAAATATTTCCAATTTGATGCTGACCTCAGCTTCTCCACCCAGGTATTGGCTTTTTTTGATAGGTTTTTGCTATAGGACGCGTGCGTGCGCCAGAAAGAGAGAAAGAGAGACAGAAAGTGAGAAATCAACCCCCAGGGGGATGGCCATGCCACAGTTCCTTCTCCATTCTCCTCTCAGGATCTTAAGCAAACGCACACACGCACCTGGAGTAAATTTAAGCCTCTAGGTCTGGGACTTGAACTGTGATTGACAGTGGAAGTCCAGTTATGTAACCATTATGCTGGCCCCAATTTTATTTTATTTTGAAGTCATTACTGCTTGGGGAAAGACTGAAATTAGTAGCAGTGGTCTATGTAGACTCGCATTTCTGACTATATATTATTTTTATTTGGAATATATTATACATATATAATATATAAAGTTAAGCACTAGCCACAGTGGTGCAGCTAAAACAAAATGCTACACAATGCTGAGATCATATGAGAAGGTCCTGATTTCGCACTCCAGGGTCTCCTTGTTGGCTGTGGACAGGCTTGTGAATGCTGCTGATCCCGGCTGTCTGAGGCCAAGAGTAGGATTGAGGGGTGAAGACTCTGTTAAGGTCTCTCTCTCTCAATCTCTCTCTGTGTCTTACTCCCTCTCAGGCAAGGAGTACGTTTTTAAAAATTTAAGACTAATTTTACTATGTTTCAGTTTAACTGGAAATATAAAAATTTCCACACAAATTTTAGAAAAACAGTCATTGCCAATAAAATTGTTTTTAAAAATTCTTTTTGGATATATTCAAAAAATATAGCAGGATGGTATAAGATGGTCATTCTTGGGAATACAGCTGTTTCTGGACTATATCATGCAAACTAATCAGTGTTAGCTTGATAAAAATAGAATTTATTTTCTTCACAATCACTTTTATTTTAGAATCTATGTATTTGTGATTGCCAGAGAGACACAGAGAGGGGGAGGAGGAGAGGCAAAAAGCGCCTAGTGGGCATGGTCACACCATAATCCCTTCTCCATTTTTATATCTTTTTGGGATTTTGGGTGTGTACACACGTGCATACAACATGTTTTTCAGGCCTCTGGACCAGGATTTGAACCATGATTGGATATGTTGGATCCAGTGCCCTTAACCAGTAGGCTTTGGAGCCAGCCCAAAGTTTAAAACCTATTACAGTTTTAAACCTATTACAATTTCTGCCTAATTTTAGCATCTCAAAACTCAAAATATTTTAGATAAAAAAAAGTTTTTGTTTGTTTTTCAGTTATTGCTATAGGGTGCATGTATTTGCTAGAGAGAGAGAGAGAAGGTAAGAATCACCTCCCTGGGGGGATGGCTGTGCTGCAGTCCCTTCTCCTCCAGTCTCCTTGGGATTTTGGACACACCATGCACACACACACAACGTGATTCTCAAGCTGCCGTGTCTGAGACTCAAACCAGGCCGTCAGCAATGTGGAATCCAGCTGCCTTGATCTCCATGCTGCCTGCTAGCCCAGTTTGTTTTGTTTTTTTAGTTTTTTTTGTTTTGCTTTGTTTTTGTTTTTGCCATAGGGTGCATGCAGACAAGAGAGAGAGAGAGAGAGATAGAGAGAGAATATGAATGAGAAATCCCTTGCTCCTCCCTACCCCACAGGTGATGGCTACAGGGTAGTCCCTTCTCTACTGTATTCTCAGGATTTGAGGCATGCATGCACGTCCACCTAGCGTGATTCACAAGACTAGGAGTACCTTTTAAATGGTAGAAATTATATTGGTTATAGGGACCAGAAGTTAGTGTAATGGCAGTGTCACTGAACTCCCATGTAGTTGACCACGGTTGAGTCCTGGACTTGGTGGCTTAAACTCACGCCGGGCACGTGTGTTTGCATGCCCCAGAACCTGAGAGGAGAATGGAGGAGAAGGGATTGCAGTGTGGCCATTCCCCCGGGGAGTGGTTTCTTGCTTTCTCTTGCTATCTCTCTCGTCTTTCTGGCGAGCGCACGCACCCTTTAGCAAAAACCTCTCAAAAAAAAAAAAGAAAAAAGAAATTATATTGGTTGTCAGCCTAAATTTTTTTCAAAATAGTAAAAACAGAGTTGGTATTAAGATTCTTAAATCGCAAGGAAATTTGTGGGTTAACTGGGAAGTAGAAAACTGTTAATTATGTTTAATTGTCAAAATATTTAAGGCTTAGTGCCTCAGCTTGAATGTAAACTTTTCAGTAGTCTTTGTAAACATTAGTTGCTGGAATTTTGTCTTCAGAAACACAAATGCTAATATCTGGTTTCTGTCTGTATTGCCACTTAACTGCATTAAGTTGTAGAAATAGAAAATAAACAGTACATATATTCAACAATTAATATGTTTTGGCAGATTCTCAAAGGAAAGGAATGTATAAATCTTATTTTCAAGTGTATTGTTTTCTTTCAGATTTAGAACATCTTTTAAAATCTACTCAAGAGATGATTTGAGTTTTTTATAATGAATCATTTTAGTGATGTCATAGTCACTTGAAATGTTTGATGTACTCTAACCTTTAGAGTTATTTTAAATTTATAAGCAATATAAAATATTTTCTGTAGAGGTCTCAATTCTTATTTGCTTTTCATGATAATTAGGAATTTTCATGGTGTGTTTGTGTGTATTTTTTTATTTGCAAATTTTATTCTGGCTTATTTTACTTTTCTGTTAAGTAAGTTTGAATTCTTTCAAAAATTACCTGTCATTGAACATTTTCGTTGTCTTTTTTACCTCACAAAGGGGATTACTTTTTATGAATTCTATGCAATTGTATTTAATTATTTTCTAACTTGTATCTTTAGAAAAAATGAATCATGGGAAACTAATTTAGTACATTAAGTTTTACATTTGCAGTATTTTTCTATTTTTTTCCTGAAAGACAAAAAGACAAAACAAAGCTAACACCTCCCCTCCAATCTTCAGTATAAGTATACGTCAAGATTAAAAGAAATAATTTTTTTCTTGGGGCCAGCAGTTAGCGTAATGGCTATGTTGCTGGACTCCCACGTAGTTGACCGCGGTTCGAGTCCTGGACCCGGTGACTTGAACTCACGCCGGGCGCGTGTACATGCATGCCCAAGATCCTGAGAGGAGAATGGAGGAGAAGGGATTTCAGCGTGGCCATCCCCCCTGGGGGGTAATTTCTCTCTTTCTGTCTCTCTGTATCTCTCTGTCTGTCTGGTGAGCGCATGCGCCCTATAGCAAAAACCTCTCCAAAAAAAAAAATAATTTTTTTCTTTAACAAAGTAATGTCACAGTAGAATATATTTCATCTCCATAGTGGATATGACTAAGAAATTAGCATTTATGTTATATCCTAAACCTTTAGATAGCATGGATAGGAGAGTTAGTGAAAATTACTGTACAAATTTAGAAGTTTATTAGCAAGCTTTATTTCTAATACTAAAGCTGTCCAGACTTTACAGATGAATTTATCCTTTAATATATTCATTACATACTATTTCTCTAGTGCCATTATGGGTGCTAGGGATTAAGACGCGAGTATATGACACATAGTTTTGGGCCACTAGGTGGCGTGGAGGTTAAGGCAGCAGGGTTCCACCTGGTCAGTTGCACCATTTGAGTCCTGGACCTGGCAGCTTGAAAATTATGCCAGGTGCACACACATGAGTGGCCCAAATGGCAAGATGAGACTGGAGAAGGAATTGTGGTGTGACCACCCCCTACCCTCCTAGGGAGTGGTGGGTAGGTGATTTCTCATTTTTTCTCTCTCTTTTTTTGGCAAGTGCACACATTCTGTATAGGAAAAACTAGGAAAAAAAAGATAATGTAGTTTGTCTTCATGGAGCTTATTGGTTAGCAGAGGAAACAAACATTAAATTAATTAAGTGATAAAAGTTGTGAAAAAACACTTTGAGTACCTTGAGAATGTAGTATTGTATTTTAAATGTTTTACTTGATCTTGGAAATTAGACTTGATACCTAGAATAGTTGTTTTTTCCAAAAATTTAATAAAATGAACAGGTCAGTATATGGTGTGCAAAGTGTACCTAAGCAGTAACAGTAAAAGTAACCAACACAGTTGTACACATCTACATATTTATTCTTAACTGTGTTTGTAATAGTAGTGTTTGATTCTGCTATTGCAGAAAAATGGCATTTTTTTTATGTTTGAGAATTTAAAGGTTCATTGGATCCTGCTAATTTGTTGGATTCTACACAATTGTAGTAATATAATTTGCAGGTTTTGTAGTTAAGAACATAAAGCAACTAAATAAAGATACTTTTAATACAACAGTATGGAATTAGAGTAACTCTCATTTTTCCTGCTCAAAATTTGATTTGCTGAAGCTGCCTCCCGAAAATCACGGGTATCGACACTCTGGTCAGAACTTGCTCCGGACTCTCATATGGCAGAATCAGGTCAGGTAGCAGTATCAGGTAAAGGGAAATAAGAAATAGACTTTTCCTCCCCTCCCTTTTTGTGTTGTAAACATTTATTCAGAAAAACCGGTATACTGACTGTATGAAATACATAAGATGATGCTGGGATGGTTGATGCTCAAAGTTAATCGATTTTTGTACATTTTTAAAAGAATTATTTTATTTAACTTTATTTATTTATTTTGATTTGACCAGAGAGGGACAGAGTGAGAGAGAGAGAAAGAGTGGAAAGAAGTAGCTAGGGAGAGAGAGAGAGAAAGTGAGAAAGAAGCTACTAGGTACAGGACTTGAGCCATGGTCAGCCATGTGGGAGTCCAGTGCCCTTAACCACTATGCCACCTGTCAGCTCCTGATTTTTGTACTTTTTAAATTAGCCTTTAGAGTTGTATTGCAGTTAAGCAAAAATTAGAAAAGAGGAGGAAAGAAATGATTCATGACAGAACACAAGATGGCAGAAAATATGACAACTTATCAGTAATCATCATAAATATGAAATGATTAAATTTCTTAGAAAATATTTTCTTCTAGATCAATGATTTATATAGATGCAGGGAAAATGATAACCTAAAAGAAAGGTTTTGTAATTTGTGAATTTCTAAAACAATGTGACAAGAATCCCTATATTGGTTTTTAAGGAACCCGGTAAAGGAGAATATGGAATATGTAGTAAACCAGTCAAAACATCTATTTTAGACAAATTAGATGATATTGCAAAGTTTCACACTCTATGCTAAAGTATAAAATTGTTTTTAATTAAAAATTTTTTGATAAAATATCTAAATTGTAAGAGTACTTTGAGAAGTTCTTATTGTGAGCATAGTCATTTTGCTTAAATCTTGTCCAAAATATTTTCTTGTCACATCTTTTAATTTTTTTTTAATCTTTGCTTACTGATTTTATAGCATAAGTTTTAATTTATTAGATTTTTGCTATAATGCTAGAGAGACAGAGAGACCGAAAGTGAGAAATCATCCCCTGGGAAGGTGGCCATCCCACAATCTTTTCTCCATTCTCCTCCTGAGATCTTGGGCATGTCCATACACACGCCTGGCATGAGTTTGAAGCCACCGAGTTCGAAACCTGAACCGTGGTCAGCCATGTGGAAGTCCAGCAACATAACTACTATTTCATTTGCTGGTCCAATAGCATAAGTTTTTGATAAATTGGAAAAAAAAAAAAAAGCGTAGCTCATGAAGTCACGTAGTCAGTAAATAGCATTTAAGATCTGTTTCTTAAAAAATCAAATTAACTGATCTTTCTCTCTCCTCTTGTTTTCTAGGAATATTAAAAGTTTGTCAGATATCCAGATAGTACAGGTTGCTTGCGGTTACTATCATTCACTTGCCCTTTCTAAAGGTAAGAATTGTTTTTCTTTTCTTTTTTTTACTTTTATTACTTAGTACTTTAATTGAGCAGGGTCTTCTGACTTTGTTCTTTTCCCAAGATAATCTTGATTTTTCTTTTTTTTGAAGAGGTTTTCGCTATAGGGCGTGTGCGCTCGCTAGAAAGAGAGACAGAGAGACAGAAAGCGAGAAATCACCCCCCAGGGGGCATGGCCACGCCGCAATACCTTCTCCTCCATTCTCCTCTCGGGATCTTGGGCACGCGCACACACACAGACCCGGTGTGAGTTTTAAGCCACCAGGTCCAGGATGTGAAACGCGGTCGACTACATGGGAGTCCAACAACATAGCCATTACACTAACCGTTGGTCCCATCGGTTTTTCTTTTGTTTTCATACCAATTTTAGAATTATCTTGTCAGTTTTCACATACACTGTAACTGCTGGCTTCTTGATTGGAATTGCACTCTCTGAAAATCAGTTTGAAGGAAATTTTTATAATGTTGAGTCTTAATTCTTAAACATGATATATACCTCTATTTATTTAAATGTCCCTTTTTTTTCATTAGTATTTTGTTTTATGTGGCAAGGTCTTATAAATAATTTTTATTAGGTTTTTCACTAGATATTATGTGTTTTCTTTACTATGAATGGTATGTATCTTTTTAAATTATTTATTGTATAGACATGAAGTTGATTTCTGTGTCATAATGTTCATTAAACAGTTAAAAAAGTTAAAAACTAGGAATTACTCCCTCAGTTTCATTTAATCTGACAGAAAATAGGCTAAACATCCTATTTAGCTTTGTGTGCATTCCTCTTAGTAATTTAACTTCTTTACATGTCTGTTAATGATTAGAACATGGGTTAGTAAAAACTTCTCATGTATTTGTTTTTTTATAATTTAAGAACATACTAAGTTTAGGGGCAGCAGGTGACATGGTGGCTAAGGGTGCTGGACGCTCACATGGCCGACTGTGGTTTGAGTCCTGGAGCTGGCAACTTGCTTTCTCACTTTCCATCTCTCTCCCTCTCACCCTGTCCCTATCTGGTCAAATTAAAGTAAACAGATAAAATAAAAATAAAGTTAAATAAAATTTAAAAAGAAAATATGTTCCAATGACTCTCATCATCATTACCATTATTTAAATTCAGTAAATGTCTAGTGAGACCTACTATGAGTAAAAACACTAGACTACATCTGTGGGGGAAACAAATTTAAGAGACAGTTTTAGGGATGATATAGTCTAGTAGAAGAGAGATGTCCAATAAATAATTGTGGTCTGAGGCATAAAGAAAAAAAACAAGATTTTGGTCAAGGTAAGAGAAAAATGCTATGAGAATGAAGAAAAGTTATGATTTAGTTTTATATTGGTAGAACTAGTTGACGACAATAAGGGGAGGATTGTTATTTTATACAAACTGAAATATGAATAAAATTTATTAAGAATTGGGGAAATATTTACAAGAGGCCAGAGGAAACACTGAAGTATGGCTAAAGCAATAGTACTAGCAAAAGTATAGAGTCCAAAAAGTGGTGAAGTTGAGTATTGGCATGTAGTTTTACATGGGTATTGTGAGGGCATGTTAGACATACTTCAGTCAAAGCTAAGGTTAAAACAGAAATCTCTTACACCAGGTTTCAGGTATAATATTGGGTTGTCAGAAAAGTCATGGCATATTCTTTCTCTGTTTTTCTATGCAAAATGTGTCATGACTTCGACAACCCATTATTAAAGAGACCCAGCCACAATAGCATGTACTAGATGCCATTATCAGCAGCAGGCTAAGACCACGTGGGAAGCCTGGGTTGAATTCCTTCCTCACCCTAAGGAACCAGGTATGGTGGTATATGTCTGTAATCCCAGCTACCCAAAAGCCTTAGGAGAATCAGGAGCTCACAGTTTAGGAGACCGTATCTGATAGAGCTAGATGTGGTAGCACTTTCATAGTCCCAGTTGCTTAGAGACAGAGTCAGGAGGATTACAACAGCAAGATCCTATCTCAGTCACTACACACACAAACACAGAGCGAAAAAATTCCTTATTGAGGAATATGGACTTGTACAGCCAGGGGAGAACATGAGATCCATGTGTAGTCCTTGTTTTTGCTTTGTCACCTCTTTTGATATTTTGTTGGGTGGATCCAATGTAAATTTAAATGTAAAGATTTTACTAGTGAAGACAGTTTTCTATCTTAACCTTTTTTTTTTTTTTTTTTGCCTTATTTGGCTTTATGCGTAGGCAGTATTTTACTCATTTAACAAACTTTTTAAAAGTACTTAATATGAACTAGGCTCATTACAGTGTACAATATGCAGTGGTAAGCAGTATACTATTAGTTCTCATGATAGTCATGCTAATTATAGCATTGTATACTTCGATAAGGTATATAAAGAAAAAGTTCAGCGTATTGAGAACATATAACAGGAATTAGACTTTTTTAAAAAGGTAATTACCTAACTTTATTTATTATTATTTAATTTGGAGAGAGAGAATGAGGAGGACTTGAACCTCAGTCAACAACCATGTGGGAGTCCAGTGCCTTGACCACTAGGCTCCCTGATGGCCCTGGAATTAGATTTAATCTGGATGATAAGGCAGAAGGAACAGCGAGTGTGAGGATGCCCAGTGGGTAATGTAGAGGAAGGGAAGTATTGCTGGAGTATAATGAGTGGAAGACACTTGAGTGAAATGAGACTGGAAATATAGGAAGATGACATGGAGTCATATAGACTTATTAAAAATGCTTATCCTAGAACAGTGAGAGAGGACAGCAGTTTTTTTTTTTTTTTTCAAAGAAGCAGTGTTATCAAATCTGCATTTTTCTTTATTCATAATAGAGTGCGTGTGTGGGGCCAGCAGGTGACACAGAGGTTAAGGGGCTGGATTCCACATGGCTGGCTGACTGGTTCAAGTCCTGGATCCAGCAGCTTGAAAAATACACTCAGTGTGTTTGCTCCCACCCTCCCCAAAAAAAGAGTAAGTGTGCAAAAGCAAATGAGAGAGAGATGAGCATCTTTCATATGGTATGGTCCCCTTCCTCCAGTCATCCTGCCTGCTGGTTTCTGGGCACTTGTGCATGTGTTTGGTGTGTTTTTAGTTTACCTGCCTAGGGATTTGAACTATAGTCATCTTGTGGGATCTGACTGCTTTTGCGCAGCTTGTTACTGCTGTGCCATAGAGTCTACCATAAGTCTACTTTAAAGCACCCTCTATGGGCTGTGGTCATGCTAGAATCCTTTTTCCTCCATTTCTTTTATCTCTTCATGACTTGGCATGCACACAAACAGGCCTGGCATGCCTTTCAAGCTACCAGGGCTGTGACTGTAATCGTGGTAGGTCGTGAGAGATCCAATTTCCAATGCAGAGTGCTTAACACTGTGGTTTGTGGCTAACTCTGTAGTATGAAAAAAATTTTTTTTGGTAAAGAATTATTTAAGTTTATTTTAATTTGATCAGAGAGATGGGGGGAGAGAGAGAGAGAGAGAAAGGGAGAAAGCAAGCCACCAGGTCTGGGACTCAAACTACCGTCAGCCATGTGGGAGTCTAGCACCCTTAACCATTGTGCCACCTGTCAGCCCCATGGTATGAAAAATTTTTTCTTTTGAAGAGGTTTTTGCTATAGGGCGTATGCGCTCTCCAGACAGACAGAGACAGACAGAGAGACAGAAAGTGAGAAATCACCCCCCAGGGGGGACCGCAATCCCTTCTCCTCCACTCTCCTCTTGGGACCTTGGGCACGCACGCACATGTGCCCGGCGTGAGTTTTTTAAGCCACCGGATCCAGGATGTGAACCGTGGTCGACTACGTGGGAGTACAGCGACATAGCCATTATACTAACTGCTGGTCCCTGTGGTATGAATTTTTAAAAGTCAGTTATCAGTGTGTCAGTTTTCAGTTTAGTGCTAAGTGGTTTAATTAAAATTAAAAGATTTCTGAAGTTGCAAGATAGGGTAGTAGAGAGCAAAAGTAGCAAGCTGGGACAAATGCTGTAGAGCAAGGTAATATGCTAAGGAATAGATCTATTGGCCACTTCTGTATTTAGAAAGAAATCTGTATATAACTTGGTTGATAGATCGATGTATGAGATAAAAGAGGAGAGAGGGATATAAAGGATGACTTTCCAGATTTGTGACTTATGCTACTGAATCAGTTATGAACTCATTTACCAAAAGGGTAAATACTAGAAAGAGGTCCAGGTATGGGATATAGTGTGGCAGTCATGAATTTAGTTTGGGACTTGCTGAATTAGAAGAACTTTTGAAATGTATAAATGTAAATGTCAAGATAAGAAAAAGGGTTGGTTACTTGGCTTTATTGTTCAGAAGAGGTCTGGGCTAGTGATAACATTTTGAATGTGATCAGCATATAGTTGATAACTTGAAGCCTTGAGCTTGTATGAATGCCACTTGGGAGAAATTACAGAAATTATAGGACTATTAAAAAGACTCCTTTATTGAACATAAGGAAATGACATTACCTATAATTAAGTGACTCACCTATTCATCAGTGTAGTCAATCATACTTAAAATATGCTAATACAGGATGTTCTTCTAGGTAGTATTATGTCTCCATTTAAGAAATAATTGTTAAAAAGAATGTGTATTTCCATGTGATGAGAGGAAGAATACGTCAAAATAAGAAATGATATTTAAATGAAAAAAAAAAAATTTTTGTCTGTGAGAAAAATACCTAATTTTATTGTTTTTGTTTTACAGCAAGTGAAGTCTTCTGTTGGGGACAGAATAAATATGGCCAACTGGGTTTAGGTATTGACTGTAAAAAGCAAACTTCACCACAGTTGATTAAGTCTTTGCTTGGAATACCTTTCATGCAAGTTGCAGCAGGAGGTGCCCATAGTTTTGTACTCACCCTTTCAGGAGCTATCTTTGGATGGGGACGCAACAAATTTGGTCAGCTCGGTCTTAATGATGAAAATGGTAAGTCTCATTATTTATAATTTAAATGTACTTTTTAAAAGGCATGGTCTTTTGAGATGAATCAGTGATTATTAGTGTCAGTGAGAAATATATCCAAATCATTGGAGATGAGATGTTAACTTTAAAATTCCATTTGATAAAATTTCTGAGAGGTGGTGAGAAGGCAAAAGAAAACAGAACTTTTCCCCTTATTTTTGCCATAGAGTACATATACTCACCAGAGAGAGACAGAGACAGAGAGGGATAAAATGAGATATCACCCACCTACCACACCAGTCTCTCTTCTCCATTCTCCTCTCAGAATTTTGAACACACATGCACACACATATGTATGCTGACCTAGTATGATTTTCTTGCTTTTCTTTTTTTTTTTTTTTTTTTGAGAGAGAGAGTTTTGCTATAGGATTTGTGCGCTTGCAGATAGACAGAAAGTGAGAAATCACCCCCTGGGGGGATGGCAATGGCCACACACCAGTCCATTTTCCTCCATTCTCTTGGGATTTTGGGTATGTTCTCACATGCACCTGGTGTGAGTTTTAAGCTGCCGGGTCTGGGATTCGAACTGCGGTCAACTACATGGGAGTCCAGTGATATAACCATTATGCCATCTGCTGATCCTTCACCCAGCATGATTTTCAAGCTGCTAAGTCTAGGATTCAGATTGCAATTGGCCACATGGGAATCTAGCACCTTAAATACCATACAACCTGCTGACCCCAAAACAAAATTCTTAACTATAAACTATAGAAAATATTTCTGGGGACCAGTAGTTGGCATGATGGCTATGTCTCTAGACTCCCATATAGTCAACCACGGTTCAAGTCCCTTACCTCGTGGCTTAAACTCATGCCGGGCGCATGTGCATGCATGCCCAAGATCCCTAGAGGAGAAGGGATTGTGGCGTGGCCATCTCCCCGGGGGGGTGATTTCTCGCTTTTTGTCTCTGTCTCTCTGGTGAGTGCATGTGCCCTATAGCAAAAACCTCTCCAAAAAAAGAAAGTATTTCTGGATAAAATTTTTATCATAGGATGTTTAGACTGTTGAAAAGCTTTACTTCATGTGGTGGCAGAGTTGTTCCATTATTAGCACCATCAGTGGAAAGAAACTGTAAAGTTGCTCTGGGAAAGTAATAATGAAATGTTAATCCATTTGAATTTTTCAAAGAACTATTTAAATGATTTGAGTCATTAAATTCGCCTTTGCTTGGGTGTCACTTTTAACATTGATGCTGGAGTAAAAATAAATGGATTTTTAATTTTAAAAGATTAAAATTATTTGAAACATGCTGGAATTTTGGAACTGAGTTTTCAAAATCATTTCGATTATGAATATTTGACCTCCAAAAACTATTTTCATGAAATTCAATTGTAATGACTAAAGCAGACAAAAATGAGTTGTTCTAGTAACAGCTTATAAGCAAATAATAGTCTCAGTAAGCATTAAAAAATATTTGTTGTAAAAAAAATATGTTAAATTGGGACTCAGATTCTATCTTTTCTGCTATAGAATAGTAGAAAATACATTTTTTCAGGCTTCTAAGTAGATTTCAGTGAGAGTAATTATTAGGCAAATAAAAATAATATATACATAAAATTAGAAGCTTTGAAATTCTTAGATTGCTGAGTCCTGTGCTGACTGGCGAATAGGCCATTTAATACTTAATTCTCCTTAAATTCCTGCTTTATCATGGTAACATGGATAGATAGGCCTAGGGACACAACTTAGCAAGCTATACTACAAAATTATTGAATCACAGTTAAAATTATTTAATTATTACTGTCTCTGAGCTTGAGAAACTGTAAAGGAAACACATTTAGAAGAATTTTTTAAAATACCACTAACATTTTTTGTTGGACTTTTCAGATAGATATGTTCCTAATTTATTGAAGTCACTAAGATCTCAGAAAATAGTTTATATTTGTTGTGGAGAAGATCATACTGCTGCACTAACCAAGGTATTGGTACTTCTAAAACTTCTTTGGTATTAATCTTAATAGTTCTTTCATAATTATTAAATGTTTTCATAATATTTACATTACAACTTGAGTGTTACTGGTATTTCAAAAGTAATACTGAAAAAGACCTAGAGTGTTTATTAAAAATAATGTACCTTAATTTTCAATTTTGTTTTATGTTATAAAATATGAATTGTGATATATGTGATGGCAATCTGTATTATTGAGTGTTTTTTTTTTTTTTTTTTTTTTTTTTTGAGAGGATTTTGCTTTAGGGTGCATGTGCTTGCCAGGAAGACAGAGAGAGACAGAAAGCGAGAAATCACCCCCTGGGAGGGATGGCCACGCCGCAATCCCGTCTCCACCATTCTCTTCTCTGGATCTTGGGCATGCATGCATATGCACCCGGTGTGAGTTTAAGCCACTGGGTTCAGGACTTGAACCGTGGTTGACTGCATGGGAGTCCAGTGACATAGCCATTACACCAACTGCTTGTCCCCTTCATTTATTTTTTAATTTGACCAGAGAGGGATAGAGTAAGAGAAAGAGGGAGAGAAAGTGAGAAAGAAAGCCACAAGGTCTGGGACTCAAACCATGGTCACCCATGTAGGAGTCCAGCACCCTTCACCACTGTCATGCCACCTGCCAGCCCCTTATCAATAATTTTAACTCTGGTTTCTCACTTTCTTTTGTGTGTGTGTGTGTGTGTGTGTGTGTGTGTGTGTGTGAATTCAGTATCAGTACTACTAAATTCTCTAGTGAAGAGAAGTTAAAGGAAAATGAAATTGAATTAACCTTCATCAGAAAATTAATATAGTCATATTACATAAAAGATCTGATAGATTTTTCATTGGCCAAATTGGAAATTAATTTTTTAAGAGATATTTTTGCTATAGGGCACAAGAGATGAAGAAACAGAAAGTGGGAAATAACCCCCCAGGGGGATGGCTATGCCACAGTCCCTTCTCCTCTCCTCTCCTCTCCTCTCAGAATTTTGGGCATACACACACACATACTTCCAGCATGAATTTCAAGCTACTGGGTCCGGGACGCAAACCACAGTCAACCATGTGGGAGTCCAGTGATGTAACCATTATGCCATCTGCTGGTCCCAGAAATTAATGTTTTTACTTTTATCTTTCTTTTTCTTGAATTACAGCTAAAATTAATAAGAAAAAAATTAACTTCTAAACAGACTTTAAAATTCTGCACTTCTTCCTGAATTAGGAGTTTTACCATGACAAAAATCATGAGCTGTTACCGTGGCCTAGTAGTTAAGGGAGTCAGATTCTACATGGCTGACCATGATTTGAATCCCAGCCTGAGCAGCTTTAAAAACATGCCATGCATGTGTGTATACATGCCCTAAATCCCAGCAGGATGGAGAAATGTAGGAGAAGGAATTGTGGCATTCTTTTCTCCTATTGGGATGGACTTCCCTCTTCTCCCTTTCTCTCTGTCTCTCTCCTGGCGAGTGTCCATAGCCTCTGGCAGTTTAAAAAAAAAAAAGATATGAAATTATGTATTCAGAAGGCCATTTATTGTGACATTATTTTAATGGCAAAAGACTAGAAGAAACTAAAATATCTATGAATAGCAACCTAGTTAAATATATTGTGGTATATCAATGCAGAGTAGCATAGTGAACTATAAAACAGAATGAGGAAGATCTCTTATTTCATACTGTGGAATGATCTTCAGGGTTTATTGTTAAGTAAAAAGAGGAAGGTGGTGGTTTTCATGTGTAAGAACTGAGTTACAATCTGAATGTACTACATGTTATTCAAATTTCTTTAAATAAAAAAAAAAAGGCTTTCCTCATTGTGCAGTGGTTAAGTCCTGTGCATAGGGAACCAGCTTCCACATGGCCAACCAGAGTTTGAATCCTGGCCCTGGAAGCTTCAAAACATGCTGGGCACTTCTTGCATGCATGCCTCAACTTCAGACTGGATAGAGAAATCGAGGAAAAGCATCATGGCATGATCTTGTCCAATTGGGAATCTCTATTTTTAGGAGATGCGTGTACCCTCTGCAATTAAAAAAATAAAAATAAAAAAGTGAAGAAATAGATCCAGCTTGGTGTGATCGTCAGTAGCAGAGTGAACTGCAGTGTTGGAAGCCACATGACTTCCAGGATTACAGGTTCAGGTGCCTGGGCCAGCCTGAAAACCTGTTGGTTGTGTGTGCTTGTATATTTTATAATAGTGAAAATGTTCACTACTTAAATACATGTGAAAATATTTAGCCTTCAACCTGAACTCTTAAAGTTTTAAGGTATTTTACCTTGAAAGAATCAACTGTTACCATCTTAAAAACAATAGAAAAGAAAAAATTGAATCCATATTAAAAATCATCCTACTTTTCTGAAGATGAGTATGATGAGTATGTTCTTTTATTAAACCTAATGATAAAGAGGTTTTTTTTTTTTTTTATTTTTTAGGAAGGTGGAGTGTTCACCTTTGGAGCTGGAGGGTATGGTCAGTTGGGTCATAACTCTACAAGTCATGAAATAAATCCGAGGAAAGTATTTGAACTTATGGGAAGTATTGTCACTCAAATTGCTTGTGGAAGGTAAGCTGTTACATAAGGAGTATTTGGTCTTTATACCACAGTTTTTTTAGAAATTATTTAACAAGTTCTTTTAGGGGATTTAATAATATGAGGTTAACCAGTCTCCCTTCAATGCCGTATTTGCTCCTGAGGAGTCAGAGTAAGTAGAGAAACATCTTTTATATCAATCATTTTCCCTCTCTTCTTAAAACAAATTTATTTGAGGCAAGATTTTAATAATGTTTATGTAGTGTGCACGCGTGCGTGTGTATGTGTGTGTATCTGTATGTATGTATTACAAAAATTAAGGTCCAGCACATGGCATGGTAATTAAGGCTGGACTTTCACATGGACAACTGCAGTTTGATTCCTGGACCTGGCACCTTGAAAATCATGCTGGGGGGCGGTGGGGGACAACAAACGGCACAGTGGTTAAGGCACTGGATTCCCAAGTGGTCAACTGCTGTTTGAGTGTCAGGTTTGGCACCTTGAAACTCATGCCAGGCACATGTCTGTGTGTGCCCAAAATTCTACAAGGAGAATGGAGGAAAAAGGATTGTGGCCTGGTCATCCCCCCAGGGGTGATTTCTCACTTTCTGTCTCTCTCTGGTAAATATACATGCCCTATAGCAAAAATCTCTCATTAAAAAAAATCGAGACTAGTAAATGGCATAGTGGTTACGTTGCTGGACATAGTTGACCACAGTTCTAGTCTCAGACCTAGCAACTCATGCTGGGCATGTGGGCATGTGTGCCCAAAATCCCAAGAGGAGACTGGAGGAGGAGAAGGGATTGTGGCATGGCCATCCTCCATGGGGGGTGATTTCTCGATTTCTCTCTCTATGTCTCTGTCATTCCTGCAAGTGCATGTGCCCTGTAGCAAAAATCTCTCTCAAAAACAACAACAACAAAAACAACCATGCCAGGCATGTGTGCGATTTTACCCAAATTCCAAGAGGAAAACGGAGGATAAGAGATTGTGGTGTAACATGTGATTTCTCACTTTTCCTCTCACTTTCTCTGGCAGGTGCACGTGTCCTATGGCAAAAAGAAAAAAAATACACACACACACACACACACACACACATACAAATTGTATTTGGCATTACATTTGAAATATGAAATTTAGCTCCTTTATTTTTCCTTTTATAATTAAAAATTTTTTTTAATACCATGAGTAAGACAACAAATAAGAGGTAGGACTCTCAATAGGATCCCAATGCCACAACCTGTCCCCAACGTCAGCTGTGCCCAGATCATGGACAAGTTATTGCCCCATATGCTTTGGGAGGTCTTGGACTTGAACCAGGAATCTTCCTGTGGGGAATTGACTGTGAGCATTGCATCTTACTGCTGTGCTACTGTCTGGCCCTTCTTTTTCTTTTCTACCTTTTTTCCCTTAAGGGATGAAGAAATTGACCAATTAATTAAGAAACATTAGTCAGTGGCTAAGGTTTAATTGGTGGTAGGCTGTTCTGGTTCTCAGTTCGTAGGAGTAAATAGAATCCTCTTTGAAAATGCGCTTCTTGTTTTTTTTTTTTTTCTGGAGAGGTTTTTGCTATAGGGTGTGTGTGCTCGCCAGACAGACAGAGACAGAGAGACAGAAAGCGAGAAATCCCCCCTCAGAGGGGATGGCCATGCCACAATCCCTTCTCCTCTATTCTCCTCTCGGGATCTTGGGCACACACGCACCTGGCGTGAGTTTTAAGCCACCGAGTCCGGGACTCAAATTGCAGTTGACTGCGTGGGAGTCCAGCGCTAACTGCTGGTCCCAAATATACCTTTCTTGACTTTAATTTTGATCACTTAGCTAAAATTTTTCCATCTTGTATATATATGTATATATTTATATGACATAAATATATATTTGTATATGTATCTTATATATAGTTGTATATAATGTAGTTTAGATATATATTATATATATAATATGGTTTAGTTTTGGCAGTTATTAACTTCAAATGTATGGAGTCACATTGTAGATATTCTTTCCTGACTCATTGTTTTCTCTTTATGCTTTTATTATTTGTATAATTATACTTCTCCATCATTAGATCTCATTATTGTATTCTATTCAATTGTATGCCCATGTAATACATTTTTATTCCATTACTGATGGACATTGGGTGTTTCCAGTTTGGGGTAATAATAAATAATGTTGCTTTGAACATTTATTATATGGCACGTATATAAGCCTTCATATACACCTACCGTGGAATTTCTGGGTCATATAGGATGCCTAACTGGAATTTTGGCACTTTAATATCACTGTGCTTTCCAGTTTGTGTACCAGTTTACATTCCCATTAGTATATGAGAATTTCTGCTATCCCATATTCTTCTTTTTTTGAGAGAGAGATTTTTGCTGTAGGGCACATGTGCTCACTAGAGGGGCAGAAAACAAGAATTCATCCCCTAGGGGGGATGGCCATGCCACAGCCCCTTCTCCATTCTCCTCCCAGGATTTTGGGCACACTTGCACACAGCATGAGTTTTAAGCTGCTGGGTCTGGGACTTGAACTGTGGTCAGCTATGTGAGAGTCCACCAGTGTAACCATTATGTCATCTGCTGGTCCCCCATGTTCTTGTTACCACTTGGTATTGTCAGACTTAAATTTTTGTTAATCCTTTGGATATGTAATATTACTTCATCATGATCTTAATCTGTATTTCCATTACTAACTTAAGTATGTTTTCATATTGTTTGAGGAGAATTAATGTTAATCTTCTTTAAAAGATATATAGAATTCAGAAGTGAAGTCATCAGTGCCTGGGTTTTTCTTTGTTGGGAGACTATATATTACTCAATCACACTGCTTGTAATTAGTCTGTTCAGGCTATCGCTTCTGGTTAATTCTTGCTATATTTGTGTGAGTCCAGGAATTTATCCATTTCTTCTAGGTTTTCCAATTTTTCAATGGCACTTGTAGTATTTCCCTAATGATTGTTTTTGTTTCTGTAGTATCTGTTCTAATAATACATTTTTTTAAAGATTTTTGCCGTAGTGTTTGTGTACTAGCTAGAGACAAAGAGACAAGGAAACTGAGAAATCACACACTCCCCACCCTCCAACCCCCCGTAGGGAGGAATAGCCACACCACAATCCTTTCTCATTCTCCTCTTGGATTTTGCACATGTACATATACACGCTTGGTGTGTTTTTCAAGCTGCTAGGTCTGGGACTTGAGCCATGGAGTTAGCCATATGAGATTCAGCACTTTAACCTCCATGCCACTTGCTGGCCTGAATTACCTATTTTTAAACTGCTGATTTCTTTGAGGCATTGTCCCTGTAAAGTTTTCATAAAGTGTCATTTCACCATTTAACATACATTTGATGTTTGTCCTTGCTTAAATTTTAACAGAATTCATGTTGCTCCGATAGAGACTTTTTTGAAACTTGTCTTATCCTTTTTTATTTTTTTAAAGATATTTTTGCTATAGGGTGTGTGTGCTTGCCAGAGACACAGAGACAGAGAAATAGAAAGTGAGAAGTCACTCCGCAGGGGGATGGCCATACCACAATCTCTTCTCCACTCTTCTCTTGGGATTTTGGGCATGCACACACACACGCTTGGCATGAGTTTTAAGCCTCCAGGTCCAGGACTCAAACTACAGTCGGCCATGTGGGAGTGCAGCGACTTAACCATTATACCATCTGCTGGTCCCTGTCTTACCCTTCTTAACACTTGAAACTAGATTTTTTTTTCCTTTTACAGTAAGGTATTTATTTATTTATTTATTTTATTTTGAGAGGTTTTTGCTATAGGGTGTGTGAACTCGCCAGAAAGACAGAAAGAGACAGAGAGACAGAAAGAGAGAAATCACCCCCTGTGGGGGCATGGCCACACCTCAATCCCTTCTCGTCCGTTCTCCTCTTGAGATCCTGGGCATGCATGCATATGTGCCCAGCGTGAGTTTAAGCCACCAGGTCCGGGACTTGAACTACGGTCGACTACATGGGAGTCCAGCGATATAGCCATTACGCCAACTGTTGGTCCCAAGATATTTATATTTACCAGAAGTTTTTTTGGTTGTTAAAGAAATTTCTACCTTTCCACAATAAAAACTAATCATGCATGAATTCTATGGTGAATAGAAATAAGCATTTAAGGAATAAATAGTACCAGTAATTTTTAAATTGAGAAAAATAGAAGAACAATAATTCATAAATTGTTTTATGGGGCCAGTTTTATTCTTAGAAGGAGGAAACTCGATTTTGTTCAGAGAAGTTAGTATGAGTCTATTTAAGTGCAAGAAAAATTTGGAATCTGTGCACAGTTTTTTCATAATACGCATTTTCTGTGAACTGTTTGAAGACTCCTTATATGCCAGTCTTATTGTTAGTACTGGTTACTTGTCCAGTTCTTAGCCTAAAAGTTTCAGGTGGTACCCAAATGATGTACCTTTGTAGATCATACCTCTGAGCTAGAACCTAACACATTGGGGGGGGGGGTGGATTTTCTTGGGCAGCATAGATGGTATTCTGGTACTGAATTATCTGTTGTAAAGGATTTCAGTATAGATCTGCAGCTTTTGAACCACACACACACACACACACACACACACACACACACAAATATATATATATTATTTTTATTTTTATTTTACCAGAGGGTGCATGCGCTTGCCAGAGAAAGAGGATGGGGGCGGGCGAGAGGGAGAAAGCACCCTTAGCAGGGCGTAGTCACCTCACAATCTTGTCTCCATTCTTTCAGGAATTTTGAGGACTCAAGTACATGTATCTGCCATGTTTTTGAACTGCTGGGGCCAGGGTTTGAACTATGTTCAGCCATGTGGGATTCAGCTCCCTCAACCACTAGGCTATGGGGCCATCCCAAATTTGGACAGTGGAAATTTTCTGGACTGTTTTTATGTAGTATACCTGTCTTCCAGATTTCATTCAGTATAGATGAAAACTATTAAGGTTTTATACAGAAGTTTTAGAACTACAGTGGTTCTATTAATAAGCATATTTTTGAAGAAAAAAATTATATCAGCTAATATCGTTATGCCTTAGTCTTATTAGTGTTTGGAAGGTAACAATAAGTCTGAGGTTTTCTTTCATTTTATTTTAGGCAGCACACTTCTGCTTTTGTTCCTTCATCAGGACGAATTTACTCTTTTGGGCTTGGTGGTAATGGGCAGCTGGGAACTGGTTCAACAAGCAACAGGAAAAGTCCTTTCACTGTAAAAGGAAATTGGTTTCCATATAATGGGCAATGTCCACCAGATGTTGGTAAGTTCTATTGTCTTAAAGCTTTGATACACTCATTAGAGTTCTTGTTCAGATATTGCTCTAAAATGATGAAGCTTTCTGAGTTTCAAAAATTTCAAGTTTATATTGTTAATGAAAATAACAAGATACAGAACAATTTGTCTGATTGCTTAGTTTGTTTCTATTGTATATGCGTAAACAAATTCTGGATAACAGAATTATGAAAGTGGTTTCGTGGGGCCAGCCAGATGGCATAGCAGTTATGTTGCTGGACTCCCACATGGCCAACCGTGGTTCAAGTCCTGGATCTGATAGCTTGAAAATCATGCTGGGTGTGTGTGTGTTGTGTGTGCGTGCCTTAAGATCCCTGGAGGAGAAAGGATTGCAGCATGGTCATTCTCCCAGGGGATGATTTCTTGCTTTCCTTCTCTCTGTCTCTGTCTCTGTCTCTGTCTCTCTTTGGTGAGTACATGTACCCTAAGGCAAAACTTCTCAGAAAAAAAAAAGAAAGGAATCTTAGAGGGTGGACCATATAGGAACTCGAGGGTAGCTAGAGCCAGTAATAGAGAGTATTTTTGTTTTTTAATTTTTTTTTAAATCCTTTTATTGAAAGACAGTCTTTTTTTTTTTTTTTGAGAGGATTTTTTGCTATAGGGTGTGTGAGCTCACCAGACAGACAGAGAGAGAGAGAGACAGAAAGCGAGAGATCACCACCCAGGGGGGATGGCCACGCCACAATCCCTTCTCCTCCGTTCTCCTCTCGGGATCTTGGGCACGCATGCACACGCGCTCGGCGTGAGTTTAAGCCACCAGGTCCAGGACTCAAACCGCGGTTGACTACGTGGGAATCCAGTGACATAGCCATTACGCTAACTGCTAGTCCCTATTTTTTAATTTTAATTGTGGTATAATTCACATAACATAACACTTACAAACTTAAAGATTATTCATTTATTTCTTTCAAGAGAGAGGCAGAGACTCAAGCAGATATTCTTAACACAGTCTTGCCATGCCATGATCCTCATTCTAGCCTTTTACCCAGTCAGTATTACAGGCATGTAGGCATGTCCAGAATGTTCAGGTTGATGTGATATCTGAACTCAGGTCTTTCATGTGCCTCCAGCATCATAGCAGCACTCCACAACCTTACCACAGCAGGGCCCAATAACTATCTTAAATCCATAGTTCAGAAGGGTTAAGTACATCCATATTGTGTAGCCAATCTCTAGAACTCTTCTCCTTTTGGAAAACTAACTCTATATTTATTAAAACACAGTCTTCACTATCTTCTCTCCCTATCCCTGGCAACCACCATTATACTTTCTGTCTCTGTGAATTTAACTTGACTACAGGTCTCTTATATAAGTAAAGCAAACTGTATTTGTCTCCTCGTCATTGGCTTATTTCACTTAGCATAATATCCTTAAGGTTCACCATGTTATGGCATGTGTCAGAATTATATTCCTTTTAAAAAGATATAATACTCTGTTGTAAGTATATTACCAGATTTTGCTTATCTATTCTTTTATTGATGTACATTTGCATATTAAACTTTAACAGAATTTTTAGTTTTGCTCTAGGGAGTGTTTGCTGGCCAGAGAAACAGAGAGAGGAAAAAGAAGGAAAATGAGAAGTCACCCCCTTGGGGGAATGGCATGCACATGTATGTGCTAAGCATGATTTTTTAGCCACTAGGTCTAGGACTCAATCCCACAGTAGGCCATATGGGATTCAGCTCCTTAACCTCCGTGCTGTGTGCTGGCCTGGATATTAAATGTTTTAAATTAGCTTTTATATCCTTGTTGCTTAAGCAAACCTGTATTTTATTTTCTGTTATTCTTGCAGTGCACCTTATTTTTTGTTATTGTTCACATCGACTTACCACTAAAGAGTTTGAAATATTTGAATGCAGTGTTCTCATTTCCTTTTTGGACAAATAATAACCAAGATGTGCTTCTTGTTATATTTTCCTTTACCATCCTAAACGATTCCTCAGAATTGTTTTCTCATGTATTTTGTCTATTGGTGAAGACTGGAATCTTGGGTTTTCTAAAACATAGTATAAAACTTGAGTCACATTTATGTATTACAGTTTTTATCTGTTCACAGTGCAGAGCATGAGCATACTGTGAATGCTAACATTTGAAGAAGTTCATAACTTCTTATTATAAATAACCTTGAAGATTTTTTAAATTAAAAGAACTACTATAGGGATTAGTAGATTGTGTAATGGTTATGTTGCTGGACTCCCATGTAATTGATCACAATTTGAGTCCAAGATCAGCAGCCTAAAACTCAAGCTGAATGCATGCGTGTGCACACCCAAAATCCTGAGAGGAGAATGGAGAAGGGATTGCAGTGTGGCCATTCTCCCCCAAGGGAGAGGGAGATGATTTCTTGCTTTCTGTCTCTGTCTGTCCAGTGAGTGCAAGTCCCTTAAAATAAAAGGCAGGGAAAAAAAAAAAATTTTAGAGAACAGCCAGGTGTGATGGTTAAGGTGCTGGATTCCCACATGGCCAACTGTGTGCCTCAAGTCCCAGACCTGGTGACTTGGAAAATACATCAGGTATGTATATGTGTGCCCAAAATCCCAAGAGGAGAATGGAGGAGAAGGGATTGTGGTATGGCCATCTCCCCTGGTAGTGATTTCTCACTTTACCTCTCTGTCTCATTGTAGCTCTCTCTGGCAAGTGCATGCACTGTATTAAAAAAAAAAAAAAAAAAAACTAAAAAAAGAAAGAAAGAATTTTAGTTATGCTCTTAGTTGGCAAAAGTAAACATAAGATCTTTTCTTTTCTTGTTTTGATTTGATTCGATGTCTTCGTTAAAATATGCATTCATTTTCTTTCATTCATGCTGCTGATTTCAGAACATATATTTGTTTTAGCAGTATTATGTTTCTCATATTCTTAGAAACATGTTGGTGTTTTATCATACAGTTTTTCCACAAAAGACATTGTTGATTTTTGTGTGCGTGTGTGTGTTTTGTTTTTTGTTTCTTTTTTTTTTAAAGAGAGACTTTTACTATAGGGCATGTGAACTTGACAGAGAGAGAGAGAGAGAGAGACGAGAAATAATAACCCCCTGGGGGGATGACCATGCGGCAATCCCTTCTTCATTCTCCTTTTGGAATTTTGTCCACACACATGCCCTATGTGAGTTTCAAGCCGCCAGGTCTGGGACTCGAACCACAGTTGATGTTGTGGGAGTTCAGTGATAGTCAACTACATGGAAATTCAACAAATTAGCCATTATGCTACCTGCTGGCCCCACAAAAGACATGATTAATGTAGCAAAGCGATTTTGTAATTTTAGCAATATGGATACTATACTATTTCTGTTTATAAAATGTAGTCATGGGAACCAGCAGTTAGCGTAATGGCTATGTCGCTGGACTCCCACGTAGTCGACCACGGTTCGCGTCCCGGACCCGGTGGCTTAAAACTCATGCCGGGCGCGTGTGCGTGTGTGCCCAAGATCCCGAGAGGAGAATGGAGGAGAAGGGATTGCGGCGTGACCATCCCCCCTAGGGGGTGATTTCTTGCTTTCTGTCTCTATGTCTCTCTCTGTCTGGCGAGCGCACGCGCCCTACAGTGAAAATCTCTCCAAAAAAAAAAAAATAATAAAAGAAAATGTAGTCATTAGGGGTATATTTTATCACCTTTGTAGCTGTAGACATGAGATTACTTGCATTAAAATGAGAAAAGAGTTTAAATATTATTTTAGCTACAATTTAGTTTTATAAAAGAGTGTTAATATACAGTAGCCAGAGGTGAAACACAGTCCAAGGGTCCATCAATAAATGAATAGGTGAAAAAAATGGTATATATATATATATAAAATACAGTATTATTCAACTGTAAAAAGAATGGAACTCTCATGCCTGTTACCACATGGATGGACCTTGAGAAGAATATTCTGTCAAATGAAAGGAGATAGACATAAAAGGATAAATATATGATTCTCTTTATATGAGGTGCCTAGACCAAATTCTTTTATACAGAAAGTGAAGTCTAAGAATCAGGATGGCTTACTGGAAACACTCATCCTCGCCTCCTCTGGGTGGAAAGGCTAGTAATTATCTCAGCTTCTGACAGAGGAATGAGGGGAGCCTGATGAAATGTAAGCAAACAATGACAGAAACTTCTAGAAAACATAATTTCTACTTAGAAATCTAAAGAAAGATCAATCATCTAAAGCCAATGAGGCTTCTGAGGAGTGCCTTCCCTGTCTTCCTTCCAGGGAGTATTCTGAAACTCTGAACCTCAGATTCCCATGGAGAATTCCAGCACTCCCCATCCACAGAAGAATAACAAAACTGGCAGAGACCTAACACACAGAAACTTCTAGAAAACATAATTTCTACTTAGAAATCTAAAGAAAGATCAATCATCTAAAGCCAATGAGGCTTCTGAGGAGTGCCTTCCCTGTCTTCCTTCCAGGGAGTATTCTGAAACTCTGAACCTCAGATTCCCATGGAGAATTCCAGCACTCCCCATCCACAGAAGAATAACAAAACTGGCACAGACCTAACACACATTGCAGGGAGGTGCATGAGCATACAGCTTCAAAAAAAAGCATCGTACCTCTCACCCACTCCGACTCCTAGAGGCAGGAGTGCTTCACTATCTTCACACCAACCAGCAGGTAGAATTCAAGACTCCATTGTCCAGGATGAGCAGAGGATGCAAAAGAGAACACTCCTATCCCAGCAGAGACTGAAGAATTTGGTCATTATCCCCTGTTTACTAGATAGGGCAGATCTGCACACTCCTTTCTTCAGACTCAAGCCCAGGAGAATGGGCTACTTGCCCCAGCTAATACCATGGCACAGCTCTTCTGGACCTCCTTGAAATGTCTGATGCACAAGCTATGTAAGTCTTGCTCTGGCGTGAAAGACATGGCTAGCTTCCAGCCACTACTAGATCACTTTGCCAGGGAACACTTGGGACCTAGAGCTATTCTGCCTGCCCACCCCACTACTCCAAAAATTAGAAAGAAGTGAGTACTCCACCATTATGTGTGAACCTCAACACAAAGAGACAATAAATTTGAAAAGAAGGAAATATCTATTCCCCAAAGTAAAATAGTAATTCTTCACCAACAATGGATAAAATAAATCATAGAAATGTCAGAAAAATAATTCAATATATTCATCAATAAAAAGACTGAATGAGGGGCTGGCAGGTGGTGTGGTGGTTAAGGTGCTGACCACCATTCAAGCCCTGGACCTAAAGGCTTGTTTTCCTACTTTCCCTTTCTCTCTCTGGTCTAATTAAACAAATAATAATGGAGCCAGCAGGTGGCATGATGGTTAAGGGCACTGAACTCCCACATGGCCAACCAGTGTTCAAATCCTGGACTTAGTTGCTTGCTTTCTCACTTTCCCTCTCTCTGTGTGTCTGATATGACTAGAAAGTAAATAATAATAATAGTAAATGAAGTTTAGGGACCAGCAGTTGGTGTAATGGCTATGTTGGTGGGCTCCCATGTAGCCAGCTGGGGTTCAAGTCCTGGACTGGATGGCTTAAACTCATGCTGGGCACATGTGCGTGTGTGCTCAAGATCCTGAGAGGAGAATGGAGAAGTGATTGCGGTGTGGCCATCCCCCGGGGTGGGAGGTGGGGTGTTGCTTTTTGTCTCTCTTTCTGGCGAGTGCATGCACCCTATAGAAAATACCTCTCAAAAAAAAATTAAGTTTAAATAAAAACAATTCTAAAACAAACAAAAAAATCATGACAATAAGAATAAAATAAAATAATTCTTTAAAAAAGTTCAATGAAGAGAACATTCAATTCCAGGAAAGAAAAATCATTCTATGACATGAAGGAGGAACTCTCTGAAGAGATGGATACCTGAAAGAATTAAACAGAACTGCTGGAGATGGAGAATATAACACAGGAAATATAAGTATCTCTCAAAATTATTAATGGCACATTAGATGATACAGAGTAAAAATCTCTTGCCTTGAAAACAAACCCTGTGCTTGGTCCAAACAACCAAAAATAATGAAAAAAATAATCTTTAAAAATATGACAATATGCAGAAAATTTTAGATACCATTAAGTGGCCAAATAAATGCATAATGGGTATTCCAGAAGGTAAAGAGATAGATAAAGGCATAGACAACCTCTTTTATAAAATACTGTCTGAAAACTTTTTCAAATCTAGAGACATGCAGACATCCAGATCCAAAGAACACCAGATAGATTCTATGCAAGAAGATTCTCCCCAAGGTACATCAAAGCCAAATTGGCAAAAGTCAAAGACAGCATTGTAAAAATGACAAGAGAGAAGCATCAATTTGCTCATAAAAAATACCCCATCAGACTACCTTCAGACCTCTCAAAAGAAATAGTGCAGGCACGGAAGGAATGGGAAGATATGTGAAATCCTGAGAGAATAAAATTTTCAGTCAAGCACACTATTTCTGGCAAGATTAATCTTTTAAAGGGAAGGAGAGACACATTCCCAGATAAACAAAAACTGAAAGAATTCACCAAAACTAGACCTGCTTAAGAAATAGTTGGGGGAATGGGGACATCAGGTGGTATGGTGGTTAAGGCACTCTTCTCCCACATAGGCAACCGCAGTTTGATCCTGGACCTGGCAGCTTGCTTTTTCTCTCTCCCTCTCTCTCTGTCTCTGTGTGTCTCTGGTTAAATTGAAGATGAATAATAAAATAAAAATTCTTTAAAAAAAGAAATAGGGGAATACTATGTCAAGAAGACAAAAGGGAGATAAATAGAAATAAGAATACACAAAAAACAGGGATACATTTACACATATTGATAACATTGAATGTTAGTGGATTAAATTTCCCAATTAAAAGACACAGATTGGCTGAAGGGATATGGGGGGAAAAGGCAAGAACAGCATGGAATCTAAACAGTTTGCTCTTGAATGACTTCAAAATTATGGAAGAAATTAAGAGCGAAACTCAAAAATTTCTGGAAAACAGTGATAACAAACACACAAGTCTCCATAATCTTTGGAACACAGCAAAAGCAGTCCTAAGTGATAAGTTTATGGCTATTAGTATACACAAGGAAAATACAGAAAAAGCAAATAAATAACCTAATGATGTTTCTGAAGGAATCAGAAAAGCAACAAAAAGAAAAAAAGTACTAGAAGAATAGAAATAATAGAGATTAGAGCAGAAATAAATGAAATTGGTAATAAAAGACAGTACAAAAAAATCAATGAAACAGAAAGCAGTTTTTTTGAGACCATGAATAAAATTGACAAGCCACTTGTTAGACTAACCAAGAAAAACAGAAAGCAACCAGATAAATAAAATCAGTAAAGAAGCAGGCACTATTACAACATATATTATAGAAATAACAAAAAATAATGAGAATAATATCAAAGATATTTTAACAGGATCAGCAGATGGCATAACGATTACATTGCTGGACTCCCACATAGTCGACTGTGGTTTGAGTCCCAGACCCAGCAGCTTAAAACTCACACTAGTCCCATCTGTGTGCATGCCCAAGATCCTGAAAGGTGATTAGAGAAGGGATTGTGGCATGGCCATCGCCCTGAGGGGTGATTTCCCACTTTCTGTCTCTCCGGCAAGCACATGGAAAAATCTCTATAGCAAAAATCACTCTCAAAAAAACAAACAAAAAAAAAAAACCCTATCGTAAAAAATAAATCACCCTGTAACAAAAATCTCTAAAAAAAAAAAAAAAAAGACTGGCTAATTTGTTGCTGATAATTATCAAGAGATAATGGCCTTTTGAAGGTTCACAATAATAATAATATGACTGACCAGAGAAACTGAATGTGTGGTATGCAAAACATGCTATTATTAAAAGATTTTAAGTAAAATATTTTAAAAGATAATGTGATTAAACCCATTTTCAAAGAACTCAGTGACATTAGTTGATAATCCCAAGATCTAGTACATATATAACACGCCAAGTAAATCAAGTAAAGAGATTCAGTAAATCCAGCCTAGACATATATGCTTTTATAAAACTCTGTAAGTGTAAAGTACTTCCTTCTTTGAGAGCCACTGTCATAGAAGATATGAATATCAGCAGTGAAGTTAAATAACCATTAGCATAGATGTGAACTAGACTGGTCATACCTTGTTGCCTTTCTTTTTAAGGATGAATATTATCAGGGCCAGCAGATGGTGAGATGGTTGAGATGCAACCCAACCCACATGGTCAGTTGCAGTTCAAGTACCAGACCTGGCAGCTTGCTCTCTTTCTTTCTCTAGTGCACACACACAAGTGCCCTAAAGCAAATTAAAACTAATAACAATAATTAATAAAATTAAATAATTCTTTAAAAAGGAATATTGTTAATTTTATTATCTTCTAAGCTATTTTTTATAATTTTCTCTCTATTTTTATATCTTCAGTTTAAAGTGAAATATACATAGAATAGAAGATGCTATTTACTTTGTGCAGTCTTGAAGAAAAGCATTGCTACTTATGTTTTTAGCATCATTTTATTTATGTCATTTGATCAGGCTCATCTCCAACAGCCATCAGAGTATTCAAAGTCTTTTTTTTCTTTTCTTAAATTATGCCTCTGGGCTAGAGGAGGGTAATAGAGCCAGTCTCTTTTCTTCCATTTTTTCCTTCCTTTCTGGATTTTGGACACACATGCACATGTGTCTAATATGTTTTTCAAGTCGCTGGGTCCAGGACTCAAACGGTGCAGTGGGACATATGGAGTCTTATCTGCCTTAACTACCATGTCACTGGCTGTCCCCCCAAATCATAGGTGCTCAAATGTGTTTCTACTGCTTGGGCATTTGTTAAGGGCAAATTCTTGTTCAAAGTTGGAAGTCAAAGGATGTCCAGACACGTTTGTTTTCTTCCTCCCTTCCTCCCTTCCTTCCTTCTTTAGCAATAGGGCATGTGCACTAGTCAGAGAAACAGCAAGAACTCACCCTCCAGGGGAGATGGTCATGCTGCAGTCCCTTCTCCATTCTCCTATCAGGATTTTGGGTACACATGTAGACTTGCCCAGTGTGAGTTTAAGCCAGTGGGTCTGGGACTTGAACCATGGTCGGCTCTGCGAGAGTCCAGTGACATACCCATTACACCACCTGCTGGTCCCCATTTTCTTTCTTGGTTTCTGTTGTTGCTGTTTTGTTTTTTTGTTATAGGGCTTGCAAACTTACTGGAGAGAGACAGGGACAGGGGAGAGGGGAGTGAGAAATCACCCGCCTGGGGAGGATGGCCACACTACAATTCGTTTTCCTCCATTCTCCTCTTGGGATTTTAGGCATGCATGCACATGCACCCGGTCTGATTTTCAGGCTGCCAGGTCTGGAATTCAAACTGCATAGTCAGGTATATGGGATCTAGCCACCTTAACCCCACACCATCTTCTGTCTCCCCAATTCATTTTCTATCACAGAATCCATGAATGAGAGTACGTTATTAAGAGAAAATGCAGCAGCATGTCTGATGCGCTGAAACATGATATAAATCTTGGATTCTAATTTTTTATATTTTGTTTTTATTGCAGATTCTGAAGAATATTTCTGTGTAAAAAGAATTTTCTCAGGTGGAGATCAAAGCTTTTCACATTATGCTAGTCCCCAGGTAATAATACAGAAATAAAAGTAATTACTCAGGTCAGATAATTTTGGGCAATTCTTAAAACCTGTATTAATATTCTTTGTATGTTGCAAAGTAATTACTTTAAATTTTTTCCCTCAAGGTTATAGAATAAATTTTTTCCTGATCTGTATGATAAGTTTTTGTTTCAGGTTTTTAGTGAAATTGATTTTTTTTTTTTTTAAAGCATAGTAGAGGTTCTTGGTTTTCAATTTTTGTAATATCTCTAACTTCTGACCAGTTTTTTTATTTTAAAATTTAGAACTGTGGGCCACCAGATGACTTTAGATGTCCTGATCCTACAAAGCAGATCTGGACAGTGAATGAAACTCTAATTCAAAAATGGTTGAGCTACCCCTCTGGAAGGTTTCCTGTGGAGATAGCCAAGTAAGAATAAGATTGTATCTATACAAAGACAAATACAACCTCATAACCTTATGATAAAGCAACCTTTACTCTAGGGATATCTGTTTAAATATGTATATATCATCGAATATCACTCATCAAACAGTTTATATATAAAAGTTTTACTGTCAAGAATTTTCATAAAATTAGTATTTTAAAAGATAGCTATTTAAATTTGCATAAATTGCATTTTTTTCATACACATAAAGATATGTTAAATAATAATATAAAATATTAAATAGGACCAGCTCTGTGGCCTGGTGGTTAAGAAAGATGGTTCACACATGACTGACCATGTGGTTTAAATATTGGCCCTAGGGACCAGCAGTTGGCGTAGTGGCTGTGTCGCTGGACTCCCACTTAGCCAACTGCGATTTGAGTCCTGGACTTGGTGGCTTAAACTCACACCAGGTGCCTGTGCATGTGTGCCCAAGATCCCGAGAGGAGAATGGAGGAGAAGGGATTGCGGCATAGCCATTCCCCCAGGGGGTGATTTCTCGCTTTCTGTCTCTCTGTCTCTTTTTCTGGTGAGTGCATGCACCCTATGGCAAAAACCTCTCCAAAAAAAGAAAGAAAGAAAAATAAATACCAGCCTCATTGGCTTGAAAAACATGCCATATGTGTGTGCGCGCCTTCCAAATCCCAACAAGATGGAAGAGAAGGGATTGTGATGTGACCATGCCCCAGTTGGAGGAGGGTACTTTCTCGTTCTCCCCCTCTTCCTGTTTTTCTTTCTCTCTGGAAAGTACTTGCATCCTCTGGCAAATTAAAATTATGTGTATAGAGACCAGCAGACAGTGTAATGGTTATGTCACTGGACTCCCATGTAGTCAATTGCAGTTCAAGTCCTGGACCCAGTGGCTTATAACTCATCCAGGCATATGTGCATACATGCCCAGGATACCAAGAGGAGAATGGAGAAGGGATTATGGTGTGGCCATCCCCCTTGGAGGGGGGGAGTGATTTCTCACTTTTTGTCTTTCTGGTGAGCGCACATGCCCGATAGCAAACATCTCTTTTTTTATTTTTAAAATATTATTTACTTATTGTTATTATTTTAATTCACCAGAGACAGAGAAAGACAGAGAGAAAGAGTGAGAAGGCAAGCCACCAGGTCTGGGAGTCCAGGCCTGTGGGAGTCCAGGCCTTAACCACTCTAACACCTGCTAGCCCCAAATCTCTCTCTTTAAAAACAAAATTATATATTACATAGGGGCTTGATGGTGGGGCAGAAATATACTGTACATTCTCCAATGTTTAAGCACCTGGGAAAGGTCCAGGTTCCTATCCAGAGACCTTCCTGGGGCCTGGCACACATGTGCTTATGATCCAGAGCTGGCTAAACCTGGGGTGGATTGTGACACTGGATCTCTATTGGGATGCTTTGTGGTGTGTGTTTGTGTGCTCTCTTTCTCTCTCATGGAGAATAAACTTTAAAAAAAAATAATGTTCCTACAGCTGTTGTTAGTTTATTTTTTAAAGTTTTTAGGTATGTGCATTTACTGGCCAAAGAGACACAGAGCGAGGGAAAGTGAGAAATCACCCCTGAAGGGGATGGCCACTTATAGCCCCTTCGCCTTCTTTTTCCCCTTGGGATTTTGGGCACACATGCACATGCACCTGGCATGTTTTCCAAGCCACCAGTTCTGGGACTCAAACCGTACTCAACCATGAGGGAGTCTAGCAACTTAACCACTACCCCACCTGCTGGTGCCCCTCAGGCTTCTTAATGATGACTAAACTTTTACACTCCTTGCAAGACTTGTGTATTACAATACTTCTTTCTTGATATCTTCCTTATAGATGAAGTTGTTTAGTTTGTAAGTTTTTTTCCTCTTTCAGTTGCCAGAAGGTGCATGTAGAGAATGCAGGTACCTCCCTGTGTGGCGTGGTCATTCTGCAGTTCCTTTTTTCTTCATTTGTCTACCCCATCAAGATTTTGGGCACACATGCACATGTACCAGCGTGTTTGTCAAAACTTCAGGGTTGTGATTCAAACCACAGTTGACTTTGTGTGATCCAGTGCCCTCTAAACAGCACTTAATTGTTGCACTATGAGATCAGCCCTAGTACTTAACATTTTGTTTGTTGGTTTGTTTTTTGTTGGTCTGGTATTCAGGATGCGGGTTTATATGTAAAAAGCTGTTCCGTTATTCTAGATTATTTTCCCAAACTAAAATATTTCTGAAAATTCCAAAGAGAAGGCTTCACAAAATAACATTCTAAATCAGATTTACCACCATATGGGATTTTAAAGATGGATTTCTAAATAACTTATATTCATTTGATAAATTAGAGATGAAAAGTAGTACTTGAGAAAGTCTAGGAGAAAAAGTGATTAATACATTTATCACATATTTAGTCAATCTTAGTCATTTAAGTAATTTGATTTGGTAATTAGATGTTTATAGGAGTATCCTGTAGCAATTAATATTAGATAAATAGTTAATTTTCTCTTTTGTAATTTTGATTTTTAAATTTCTTTTTAGTGAAATAGATGGAACATTTTCTTCTTCTGGTTGCCTAAATGGAAGCTTTTTAGCTGTTAGGTAAATGGCAATTCCTTACTAAGCTACAAATTTCCAAATTTATTATACTAAATAAGAAGTGAAATGAATTTTAAATGTTATTTTTTACTCTCTTTTGTGTGTGTGTGTTCTTTTTTTTTTTTTTTAGTAATGATGATCACTATAGAACAGGTACCAGGTTTTCAGGGGTTGATATGAATGCTGCTAGGCTTTTGTTCCACAAACTTATTCAACCTGATCATCCTCAGATATCTCAGCAGGTTTGTTTTTTAAAGTATCTTACACTTATTTAGCTGTTGGGTTTTTTGTTCCATGTTATTTTATGTTTATAAGCCTAATTTTTAGTTTCATAGACTCTTCATTATGATGTACTTTGTATAATTTTATTAAATACACTAATATAAGAATTAAAATAAGATTTTATTTTAAAGCATTTGTAATTTAGCTGTCAAAGTTCTGTAAATTTTTTCAGATATTTGTAGCAGACCCTGAATTTAATGTTGTCATGTTGATTAAGTCTCTGTATAGCTATGCATGCAGAAAATTTAAATTAAGACTTGCTCACAAAATTTAAAAATTTTCTTAGCATTGCTTAGGTATTAATTTTTATTATGCTCCAAAGTATATTAATTCTAAGATAATTATCTTCCTTTTTTTCATTATTTCCTGTTTTGCTCTATAGTGCAAGATTTTCTTTTTTCTTCCCTTTCTTTTTTTATTTATTTATTTTTCTTTCCCTTGAAAGTGCATTCATTTTAAATGAAGTAGATTTCACTTTTTGTCAAAATATAGGTGGCAGCTAGTTTGGAAAAGAATCTTATTCCTAAACTGACTAGCTCCTTACCTGATGTTGAAGCATTGAGGTTTTATCTTACTCTACCAGAATGTCCCCTGATGAGTGATTCCAACAATTTCACAACAATAGCAATTCCCTTTGGTACAGCTCTTGTGAACTTAGAAAAGGCACCACTAAAAGTACTCGGTAAGAATTTAAATATTTTTTTTTCTTTTGAAACCTTTCTCTTTAAATGAAAATGTTCATAACTTTTTACTTTTCTGCTATTTGAGATAGTGCTATTTTGCTTACTTGACATTATCTTTGAGAACAACAAACCTGTTTTTCTTTTTTTTTTGTATTTTTCTGTTCATCTGATTTCTAGTTGTTAGAGTTGTTGAAGGCAGGGCATGGTGGCATGGTGGTTAAGGGCTCTGGACTCGCATGGTCCCAGATCTGGCGGGTTGTTTTCTCACTTTCCCCTGCCCCTCTCTTTCTCTTTCACTCACTTACTCACTCTGTCTCCCTCTGGTCAAATGAAAATAAATAAATAAATAAATAAATAAAATAATTCTTAATTAAAAAAAAGAGTTATTGAAGGTAAAGTATAGAATATTAGTCAAATATAACAGGAGACAGTATCAGGAATGATAAAAACTGTTACCCATAATTCTCTCCCTCATTGACGTCAGAGTGATGGAATAAATAAAACTGAATAAACGAATGTAGGTTTTAAATTCTTTTTTTTTAGAGGTATTTTATTTTAACTTTTATTTATTATTATCATTATTATTCTCCAGTTTGATCAGAGAGAGACAGAGAGAGAGAGGAAGCAAGAAAGCAAGCCACCAGGTCCAACACTTGAACCGTGGTCGGCCATGTGGGAGTCCAGTGCCCTTAACCACCATGCCACTTGCTGGCCCTGAGGTTTTAAATTCTTAAACTCTGATGTCAAGCCTTTGCCTTTTGCTTCCTTTACTTGCTAATTCCCTGATGCTTAATTTCTAATTCTCTACTTGTATATGATTTTTTACCACTCATCTGATCTTGCAGTTTTACAGTTTGCTTGCTACATTTAACACAGTGCTTTGCTTTCTAATGGCATTTGTTAGATATGTGAAGCTGAAATATATAGACATTAATGTATTAAAATCAGTTCAAGCTTAAGGCTGGAGTAAGTAGAGGAAGCAACAAGCAAGAAATAGCATACTGGCATCTGAGGGAATTAGCCAGTAAATAGAAAAGTGAAGCAGGGGGAACCAGCAGTTAGCGTAATGGCTATGTCGCTGGACTCCCACGTAGTCGACCGCGGTTCACGTCCCGGACCCGGTGGCTTAAAACTCACGCCGGGCGCGTGTGCGTGCGTGCCCAAGAACCCGAGAGGAGAATGGAGGAGAAGGGATTGCGGCGTGACCATCCCCCCGGGGGGTGATTTCTCGCTTTCTGTCTCTATGTCTCTCTCTGTCTGGCGAGCGCACGTGCCCTACAGTGAAAATCTCTCTCAAAAAAAAAAAAAAAAAAAAGTGAAGCAGGGACTCAGAATATTGCTCCTCTGTTGTCAGAAGTTTTTGTATTCTTTCTACTTGCTTTATTCTTTCTTTATAAGATTGTAATATTTATAATTAGTAACTACAAATAGCAAATGTGAGGAAGGACAGACATGTTATACTTTTCATTGTTCAGCTTCTGTATTTGCATCTGGAGAACTTTGCATTTAGAAGGTATAGCTTCACAATATTTTAACCTTATATTGAGAGATAAAATTCAGAAAGATCCTTAAGTAATATAGCAATATAGTTTTTTAAAAGAATTATTTATTTAATTTATTATTTTTTAATTTATCAGAGAAAAAGAAAGAGAAAGTGAGAAAGTAAGCCACCAATCTGTGACTTGAACTGTGGTCAGCCATGTGTGAGTCCAGCACCTTAACCACCATGCCACCTGCTGGCCCCAGCAATATAATTTTAAAGTATGTTTTGTTTAAAACTTAAAATTCTAGGAACCAGCAGTTAGCGTAATGACTGTGTCACTGGACTCCCATCTAGTTGACTGCGTTTGGAGTCCTGGACCCAGTGGCTTAAACTCATGCCAGGCGCGTGTGCGTGCAGGCCCAAGATTCCAAGAGGAGAAGGGATCGCAGTGTAGCCATCCCCCCGCCCCCCTGGGGGGTGATTTCTTGCTTTCTATCTCTCTGTTTCTCTCTGTTTTTCTGGTGAGCATACACACCCTATATAGCAAAAACCTCTCAAAAAACTCTCAAAAAAAAAAAAAAAAGAACTTAAAATTCTAATTTTCAAAATACTTTTTAATAACTGGTTTTAATATTAGGTATAGTGGTACTTTTTAATATGATTTAGCAAACCCAAAAATGTAAATTTAATAGACCTTTTATACCTTATTTTTGCTTTCCAGAGCTCTTAGGGCAGTGTTCCATAACTTGTTTGGTGGGGCAGGGGGTGGTCTATCAATTCAGAAATGTTATATAAAGTAATTGTATTATGTGTATCTTTATGGAATTTCCAAAGACTTAATAACCCTGCTTTAGAAAAGTCAGTATGAGTTTGAATATTGTCAATTTTTAATTCATTTTATTTGCATGTTCATCCTTTAATAACAGAAAACTGGTGGTCAGTACTAGAACCTCCACTATTCCTCAAGATAGTAGAACTTTTTAAGGAAGTTGTGGTACATCTTTTGAAACTCTACAAGATCAAAAAACCCCCTTCTGAAAGAAGAGTATTCAACAGTTTTCTTCATACTGCATTAAAGGTTTTAGAAATATTACATAGGGTATGTCCAATAGTTCCTTTATTTTCTTCTTTCCCCATTCCTACTAACATATTGATGGTTTTATTTAACAGTAATATAGTACAGATTTAGATTGGCATATAAAATTTATATGATAGAAATCTGGGATAATTATACTTAAAAAGAAGTAATATATCTACATTTTTGCGCTTTGATCATATTTGACTTTTTTAGACATTTATTTATACCTGTTTGTATTTGGACAGAACAATAGCATACTAATGAATTATTGGTCTATTGGAAAAGTCATGACGCATTTTTGCATAGAAAAGGTATGTCATGACTTTGCCAACCCAATAGAACACTCCTTCTATTTTCTAGTGAAGAACACAACTTGTTAGTTTAAATGGTTTTTGTTATTTATAGGTGGTTATCCTATTTAAGAAACAGGTCCTAGCTGTGATTATAAACTTTTGAACTGATGTCCATTTCCTGTTTGGTACTAATAACTGCAATCAAAGTAGAATGTTTCATTTGAAACAACTAATTTGAAATTGGAACATACATGATTCATTAATTTGCCTATTGTTCTTTCCTGTCCTTCTTCTCAGTGTAAGAAATAGTATCCTTTACCTTTGTAGCAGTTCAAAGTTATATGAAGACATAGAGTCTCAACTGTTTCATTAAAGATGGATTTGAGTCACCCCTGACAGTTGGTAGGTATATCTCTGTTATGCCATTTGGTATTCTCGAGTTGCTATTTAGATGAGACATGACCTATGGGAGAAGCATATGTTTCTACCTAAAGAGAGATTAAAAACCCCTCGTGAACTTTTAATCTTTAGTGTCCCCTCCATAACAGCTTCTTTGCATTTTCAGACCCCTTCACCTAGTACTAAGAGAGATAGGAGATAGTCCTGTTCTGTGTAAGAAAGAACCTTATGGACAAGTTATTTTCCTTTTTTTTTTTTTAATGGAGTTCCTTCTGAATTACATAAATTCCTGAATTTACTTTTTTTTTTGTCTTTAATATGCCCAACATTCTTAGAAAAGCAACTCAGTTCTGTTCTCATTATAATTGAAGAAATGATAGCCATTTGTTTCTTTGGGAAACAAGTCATCCTTATGTTTGCCTTTCCCTAGAACAAGGCTTTCTTGCAGCATAACAGGATCTGAGTCTGCAGTAAACTATTAGTAAGAGGATCTTCCAACTTAAAGGAATGGGTCTCTACCTTTTTATGTAGCTTTTGCTTAGTATTCAAGAAATTAGGATCAAGAGTCCTCCCTTTGGTCTCTTTCCTACCATTTTCAGGAAACTATCCTTTCTCTGCTGAACTGTTTCCAAATAATTACTCACTGTCTGACTTCTTTATGTGCTGATTTTTAATTCTGTCTTTAAAAACATACCTTTTTTCCTTAGCTGTGTCTTACCACTAGAAAAAGGTAGGAGAGTAGAAGGAGAGGAAAGTGGACATTTTTTCTTTTATAACTAAAGGGAGGATTTGACCCTAGCTCAGGACCCTCAATCTCTACTGAGGAAGAACAGTATAAGGTTCCCTGTTTCGAGACTTTTTTGATGGAGCCATGCTAGATACTAGTACTAACTTCTTATTAGTTGAAAGGAAAGGCAAAACAGTCTGACATTTATTGCTTGCTAACAACAGACAGGATTGAAACCCCTCTTTATATGTCATTTATGTGAATACTTTATGTGAATTGCTCATTTAACTTCTTGCACCTTGTATAGTTGGTATTTTACCCCTTTTTATAGACTGCAGAAATGAATTGCAATGTCAGAGGTCATAAACCAGTAAGTAACAGAATTGAAACACAAATTTAAATCTACTTCCAGAGTCCCTGTTGCAGACATAGTAATGTTTAAAAGAGGGTTTATTTTTTATTTTAATCCCTGAGATCTAAAATAGTCTAGATCACAGATAATATATTGTATTATATTATGGGCTCTGGAATAGAAGTCAAAAGACCATGGTTCTAATATCATCTGTGCTGATTCCTACCAATGTGGTTTTGAACAGGTCTTTCTTTTTATCCTAAATACAAATGAAGAATTATTTATAAAATTAAAGTTATCTGTAAAGTAAGGATTAAAACATCAGTCTTGGTAGTTTGCCAACATTGTTTTTTAAGAATTATTTTCTTTAATTTCATTTGTTATTATTTTTTAAAATTTGGGCTAGGGTTAGAGAGAGAGAGAAAGGGGAAAGTAAGAAAGCAAGCCACCAGATCTGGGACTTGAACCACTGTCGGCCCTGTGGGAGTCCAGTGCCTTAACCACCGTGTTACTTGCTGGCCTCCAAAATGGTTTAAATTAGATGATATATGTAACTAATTATACATTCATAAGGCAGTGATTTAATTACTATCACTACCATCACTTCATTGGAAAACCTTTACTTTTGACTTTATTGGGTTATAAGTAAACTGCTCTTGTTTGAAGTTGTTACATATTCAAAAGCGGTATGATACTGGTATGACTTTCTTTTTTTTTTTTTTTTTTTTTTAACTTACATTTTAAGAACAAATTTTTTTTTTATTTTATTATCATCATAATCTTCTTTCTATTACACTAGATTACATATAACTTTACATTGACTTCCATTGCTTTTTCAAAAGGGAATGCCATGCATGTCAGTCAATACAGAGATATCAATCTCCCCGCTTTATCATTCAATATCTTTTCCATGCTTTTCCCAATAATTATTATTATAATTTTTTTAAACAATCAATCACTATTTCTCATTTTGCTTATTAAAAAGACTTCACCCATCATGAAATACTTCCCAGACCGGTTCAGTTGAGAATACTATACATGTCATCATCAACAGGTAATAAACCATATCTATTTCTCATTAACATCCTGCCTCTCTATTGTTCACTGCTGTCTTTATCCTCTTCTCTCTCCTTTTTTTTTTTTATACTTTGTTTTTTATTATAATTTTTTTTTCTCATCACAACACACATATGAATTTTCCATCCAAAATACACTGTGCATTGGCTCAATCAAGCACATCAACATATATATTCTCAGCAAATGATGTCCCAATTTTTGTGTCCTGCATACCTTGCCTTTTGTTTTGCCATCCTAGATTCCCCATCCCCACCCTCTGCCATGTCCCATCTTCCTCCTC